AAGCTTATGACGAGACTCTGATAAAGTTATGGCCAGTGTTCGAAACTCACCATTGAGTTTTAGGAGCCATGTGGCGCAAAAAGCCCGAATTTTAGGCGCCATTGAAAATTGTTTAGGGGCTAAATTGACTTTTTGCCTATATGTCACGGCGAAGGAGAGAGATGAACGTTTGAAAAAGTCGAAAACCAGAATTCCAGTATCCACCAAAGTCAGCTCAGCATCATCGGCTTGAGGCATTGGCACGGCACAACGCGCGCTCCTGATGAACTCTGGCTCGGGCGCCAATAACCTAATCCTGCTTCTCGATTTCTTCTTCTTCATCCTCCTCACTGATCTTGACCCTGCCTCTGCCTCACGATCTTTGTTTATTACTGGCTATGTAGACGAAGTTCGTAATACCGTCCGCGACAGCGTTGCCGCTTTTAACAATTTCAAGCAGTTGCACAAAGGTGCGCATAGCGAGGATTATTTTTATTCTTTTACTAATCTCTCCCTAGTAGCAGAACCATAGAAGGAAAAGATAAAGATTATGTACGTAAGTTAATTTTTTTTATATAATGCATGCATACGAAAGTGTTAAAAGTGAACATTTTTGTGTAACAATTACATGAAAAAAAGTCATAATTTTCGTGAGCTTTTCGCAAAAATACTAAAAAATCTTCTAATTTGCGAAAAGCTCACGAAAATGATGACCTTTTTTTTTTTTTGCATATAATGGTTACATAAAAATGTTCACTTTTAACACTTTTGAATGCATGCGTTATATAAAAAAATAAAAAAATTGTCTATAAAAAAAAATCACCTTATCTAGCTTTTATCATTTTTCCTATATTATGGTCAGGTCTGAACTTTGATTTTTTTTTTATATACAGGGTGGCCTAGACCTACCGTACCAGGCCTTTTTTCGGTTAATTTGGGTCGCACCAAGTCCAGGATCGCGGGGATGAATAGGGAATCGACCCTAAGGAATCCGAATTTCATGGTCCCAGAGCCCCCCTGGCTTGGGGGGTAAAAGGGGGGTCCGTACTTCAAAAGTCAGAGTTTATGTCAAAATTTTGAAATTATTCAATCGGAATCAGAGCGTACGGAAATTTTTAACTAAAATCGACACCAAGAAATCCAAAGTCGGCCCATCCGTGTCCAAAATACCAACCCCTAAAGGCGGGGGACAGAGCCCCCTTTCAAAAAAATTCAAGTTCGTTAAATTGACGTGGAGACTCGGAAAAGATGTGTATTTATAGGTAATCGACTCCAAGGAATCCGAATTTGAGGGTCCCGTTGTCCACAGAGACTTTTCTGATGGGGCAGAGGGGGACTCTGAACTTTTAAATTTAACTGGTGTGGAGGTTACCCCTGCGCCCCATCGGAAAAGTCTCTGAGGACAACGGGACCCTCAAATTCGGATTCCTTGGAGTCGATTACCTATAAATACACATCTTTTCCGAGTCTCCACGTCAATTTAACGAACTTGAATTTTTTTGAAAGGGGGCTCTGTCCCCCGCCTTTAGGGGTCGGTATTTTGGACACGGATGGGCCGACTTTGGATTTCTTGGTGTCGATTTTAGTTAACAATTTCCGTACGTTCTGATTCCGATTGAATAATTTCAAAATTTTGACATAAACCCTGACTTTTAAAGTACGGACCCCCCTTTTACCCCCCAAGCCAGGGGGGCTCTGGGACCATGACATTCGGATTCCTTGGGGTCGATTCCCTATTCATCCCCGCGATCCTGGACTTGATGCGACCCAAATTAACCGAATAAAAGGCCTGGTACGGTAGGTCTGGGCCACCCTGTATATAAGCGTTACATGTCTTTACATAAAACTACCATTTAGATAAAAGATATGTTTTTTTTATAATTTTTTTAGAAAAACAAAAATTTGTTCTGCTACTAGGGATACTCATATTGGGTCAGTTGCGCTGGTCACAGAATCGTGTTTTGATGCTTGATTCTTGTAGATCTGCTAAAATTAATAAGATCTGTTCAAACAGCAACTTTATAAGTTCAAAATTAGCCGAGATATCGCCCTCTGAAAAATTCGGTTTATGACGTTGTACACCGCGGTAGTGACACCTTTGGTTTCCTCTACATTGCTTTCATCTGAGCTTCTGTTGAGTAACAAAAGCAAATGTGTGTCTTATTAACCGATGAAAGAAGTGAAAGAAACCAAGGGTGTCACTACCGCGGTGGATGACGTCATGAACAGAATTTTTCAAAGCGCTATTATTGAGTGTAGAGAGTTGCTGTTTGGACAGATCTTGTTAATTTTATCTGATCTAAAGGAATCATGCAACGAAACACGATTCTGTGACCAGCGCAACTGACCCATTTTTAAACAGGATGGGGCCAAAAGTTTGTGACATTCGTTATTTGTCAAAGGAAATTTGGCTACGTCTGGAGGCGCATACGGCGTTCTTCCGTCCGAGGAGAATTGTTGTCCAAATTTTGAAAATTTGGATCGCAGCTTAATGTCCCACCCTCCTTCCACTCTCTCCACATAATGCGACGTACCGTAGCAAAAAATTTCAAAAATCATAAATTGAAATAATTGACATTTTGATGTGTCCTGTCGACTAGGTTTTTTAAAAGTAGTATTCTGGCTTTTAGTACCTTTCTTGTTATATTGATGGTTGATCACGGGTGCATCTGTGATACCTTTTATATATAAATTCGTCAACGCCAGTCAACTCTGTTTGACCACCGGGATGTTGTCAAATTTCTCCTGATAAAACACGAAAAACAGACTAGGGATCAAACTTGTCAGATGACATATTTTACTGGAAGGCAAGATCTATAGCTTAAACAAGCTACAAATCAGGAGGAACACTTTTAGCTGTAAAAGGATAGATCCTGGCCTACCCCAAAAAATGAGGGCGACTTATCAGAATGCGCAGCTGTGTAACCTATGACCGTACCCTCTATGCCAATAATTCTTCTTCCTTTCAATTTTGGGTTAGAAAACGCCATTGAAATCAAAATTTCACACTAGGCAGACAACGTCGCATAGTATTGAACTTGGTTGGACCCATGAGATGCGTCGCAAACTAGACACCGGGACAGAAGACGTTGTCAAGTTTATCAATATTAGCGAATTTCATAAAAAAAATTAAGTCTGCCGTGCTACGAAAAAAACCGTATAAAAATTGTGTATAGTTGATAAATGGACCGCGTTAAACAGAAAGGAACCAAGCCACATCAGCTATTGCCAAATTTCCCTCGGCAATTTAATTTTTTACGAGGGAACGTTTGAGCGGATTTCTTTGAAAATTTTATGGAATTTGCTTTGCACGATGTATAGAAAATTCACTGAAATTTGCACGAAAATCCGCACAACCGATTTCATATAAAGAATTAAATTCATCGATTAAATTTGGCAATAGCTGATGTGGCTTGGTTCCTTTCTGCTTAACGCAGTCCAAATATCCTTTGCAAAAGTATTGATTTGTTAGGAATATTAGGTACGAATATTTCTCCTTACACTCTTCATACATGCTTCGGATTATGACGAAAATAAAATTCTCTGAAAGGAGCATTTACTTATTTCCCCAAAATTTGAAATTTTATCGAGGAAATTTAGCAGCGTCTGGAATCCTAACTGAAAAATCTACCTAAGAACTATGCGTCCTTTTAAGCTTCCCGCTTCAAAAACGATGTACATGTACTAAGGCACATGAACATTTCGGCAAGCGGGAAGTTTAAAAAACGCAAATTTCTTACGGAGATTGTGAAGTTAGGAGTGCAGTTGAGACTTTTTCGACGCGTTCATCGTGACTTCAAGCAATTTTCTATGAAAAGCAAGTCTTCCTCTTGCTCTAGCTGAAGCTTGCAACAGGCCCATTGCTGCGGTACTAAGACAAATAAAAACGCCTTCAATACTCTTGAATGCAATACGCACATCCGTGGAGTTGTTTTTGTTGCATCCAGGCGATTAGAGTGACGATCGTCTTTTCCAATCAGTCCTCGTAGTGCAAGACACTTTCCCGGCAATTTGGAAATTACTTTCTTGCCCTGTAACCGTTGCAGCACTCGACTTAGCTAGAATTTCGGTGGTAAATTAATGCAAAAACCTTTTTCCTAAATAAAATTTCAATGTGTACGACCACGAAGTTTTTTCCTCAGCAAGTTTTTTTTGTCGGCCTCCTGTGTTGTAGTGGTTGTAGCGCTGGCCATATAACCAAGAGGTTCCGGGTTTGATTCCCGGCCAAGTGACCTGAGTTTGATGGTCTCAGACAATGGTCGCCTGGGGCTGGTGGTAAGCGTGGGATTAGCCAATAGGGGCTTTTTGAAGAGTCGTGTTTTGTTTCGGTTTTTTCTTGCTTTTTTTACGCGATTCTGAACAACCAATGAGAGAGCAACTTCCAATTTTAGGTTAGAAAACAGCCTTGCTTCTTCGAAGAACATGAGACCGACCAGCTTTGAGCATGTTATTGTACAACAATGTTGCTGCAGGGATTCCCAAATTTTGCGCGCGAAAATAAGCCCCGCCCCCAGAACACAAAACAACTTCGAACAAAATGCGATTGTTGCTTGTTTACACATGTTGCGAGTGTTTCCTCCGAACAGAATACGACTAAGCTTCACGGAAAACAATTAAATGTTGATTTAGCATTTACACTGATAAAAAGATGTCCGACAAGTTTCAAATGCTGATTTTACAATACAAAAATGCTAACATAACATTTTAATTTGTACGTTTTGCAGAGGGCGTAGTTGCGTTAGCATTTGTTAAAATGTAAAATCAGCATTTGAAACTTGTCGGAAATCTTTTTAACAGTATAAATGCTAAATCAACATTTAATTACTTTCCGTGTTGTTAAAAAAAAAAAAAAAAAAAAAAAAAAAAAAAAAAAAAAAAAAAAAAAA